TACTTAGCCAATATGTCTCATGACTCTTCCTCAACATTCCTTGCCTTACAGAGTAACCCACTATCACTGTACTAGCCAAAGTTCTCGCATCACGTCAATACCAGCTGTGCCCTCCAGACTACTTACAACTGGGACCCTCACCGAGTACACTATCATTTGGGTTACATTACTAACTGTAGCTATTAAAGCCTGCATAGTTCTGCAGCTAAAGCATTGTATATAATTTGAGACAGTCACGGAAGATCTAACAAAGTAAAAAATCAAATTCACTATCCTAAATTTTAACTTAATCAGCAGGCACTGACACGCTATGTGCTAAAAAGGGTATCGTGGGTGGGATGATACGTATGGACAGTAAGAAATGGGTCTAGAAAGCTGAAGTTAAGGATGCACAAAAATAAAACTGTGCTCACGTAAATGTTGGTGGGATATGGTGTGTATCTCAAATGTTCTAGGGTTCACAACTTGAAATTTATTCTACTGAGAAGAGTAAATAAAGCCAGGCATAGTGACACACACCTTTAATCCCAGCATTTGGGAGACAAGTGTAACTTTGTGAATTGGAAGCTAGCCTGGTCCACATAGTAAGCTCTAAGTGAGCCAGGGCACACAGTGAAGACCCTGTTTCAAAAAAGAAAAAAGAAAGAAAGAAAAAGGAGAAAGAGAGACAGACTGACAGACAGAAGAAAGAAAAGGGTAATGGAAAAAATAAAAACAGGTGCAATTTTAGATACAAGCAAGAGGCGGGGAGGGAGAGAATGATGTTAAGTTCACCGACTGCCTGAGCTACAGAGCATATTCAAAATGGCCCACCCAGGTCAATGAACAAAACCACAACACAGAAACAAAAACAGAAGCAGCAGCTAGAGATACAGTCCAGTGGCAGAGCACTGCCTGCTGGTGTAAGAATCCAGTAGGGGCGTAGGAGGATGGGGGTCAGAGTCAACAGCATGTAAAATGGATAAAAGAGGTCAAAGGCTACTACAGGAGAGGTGTTAAAAAGAAGTTACAAAGATGAATGGGGCTGGCCCGAAGTCTTTCTGAAAAGCCATTGACTATGATACTGGGACCTGTTTCCTCTGCATATACTGGTTTTTGGGGATCCAGTCTGTTTGGATACTCACCTTCCTGGACCTGGAGGGAGGGGGGAGGAACTTGAACTTCCCACAGGGCAGGAAACCCTGACTGCCCTAAGGGACGAAGAGGGAGGAGGAGAGGGAGTGGGGGGAGTGGGAGGGTGTTGGGAAGAGGGGCGGAAATGGAAACTTTTATAATTTAATAAACTTTGAAAAAAAATAAAAATAAAAAACATAAAAAAAAGATAGAAGAATATTCTGTTGTCAGAAAGAATAGTGGAATAGGAAGGCATATTGCCAAAAATATAAAATAAAAAAAAATGAGCTCAAGACTAGTGAATGAGAAGAAAAATCTCTACACAAACATGGAAGTAAGGAAAACAAATGATCAGCTTTAGCAGCAGTGCAGATGGAGAATATCTGTTACATGTCATAAAGAGCAAATCAGAGCTGACCAGATCAATTCTGGCAGAAAGCACGGAATGAGAAGGTAGGAAAGGCAGACTGGGAAGGGGACGTTAACAGGATGCTACAACAAGAAGCAACAATCTACACTTCCCTAACTAGAAGTGGGAAGCGTTAGCAAACTCCTGTGGAGTCCTTAGGAAACACTGGAAATGGGGCCATGAATGGAAAATGGGAAGATACAAAAAGTAAAATTTCAAGGCCAAGGAAAGTCTTCTAAAGGGTCATATGGGGAAAAGAAGAGAGAGAAAAGATATAAAAACAGCAGAATGAAGCAAATAAACAATGCAGAATATTTTGTTTAAATTATGTACATTTTCTCACAGCCACCTAATTTTTACAGATGGGATGCCTGAGGCTCAAAAGTCAGTTGGATTCTGGTCAACGCCAAGTCTAGATTTAGACCAGGGTCCATATGACTCTGACGTCTAACATGCCTTTCACACTGTAACACAGCTTTCCATGAGAACCATAAAGTCATTATCTAAAAGCACTGACAATTTTCTATTTATGACTTGGGAGATGGCTCTGAAATTATTAAGTTGTTTATATTTTGTCCTATTTTTTGTTTGTTTCCTAGACACACTCACACAAACCTATGCCAAAGGCTGTGCAAACAGACAGGAATGGAAGGACCAGAGCCAGGAACCACGAACAAAAAGGAGCCTTGCTGGTAGATGTAAGATGAAATTTAATCTTTTAAACAGCTGGAATAAAAGTTAGCTTTACTCTCTGCTATGGAAAATATACGGCAGTTTTTATTTTAAGGTGGTAAGTATAGTGACACATCTTCATCAAAGTATCTCTTAATCCCAAAGAGACTGAGACTTTTCAGACCTCACAGCTCAACTGATAATCTCCCCTGAGATCACTTAAGACGGTGTACTTAGCCAGCTAGCCTTCTAGGAGTTCAGGGTCTTTAAATTTAATTTGCCTTTAAGAGAACAATGTAACCAGCCTTACTAGGCGTTGAATTGTTCATGCAATCAGCAACTTTTACAACTTAAGCTAATGCACAGGTTTTAATCTTAGTACTCCTTGATGCTCCTAACCCAGAATTGTGTGTGTGTGTGGTATCACTTGCTGAAAACACCAAAGAGATTTAGAAGCAACCTTATATGACAAATATCCACCATAAATGTTGGAAACAATTTGTGGATATAGCTTGATCATGTGTTTGCAGTTATTGTTTGCCTGAGTCAGTTGAATTCCCCATCCCTTTCTCAATGCCATGTTTTCTGTGCTGACCAATACAGAGAAAAAGTCATTTGTTTGGGACAGACACAAGGACAGGGGCATATTCAGACACATAAAGATCAGACAGGCAACAAGGACAAATCAGACCCATACAACAGGCAGATTATAGGTGGGTCAGTAACCACAGTGTACAGATAGATGAAAGACACAGGAAGAATAATGGAAATAGAAATTTGGGCATACTCTTTGCCAAGCTAATCTAAAGGAAGTGGCTTTGTTTTCATCCCCTATAGCACCATCAATGCATTTTAGTGTTTGCTGAGGTTATCTTCAACGCATTAACAGACACAGTTAAGGCCTAGAGGTAGAGGGAGGATTGCAGCTACTGTGGAAGCATAAGGTGTTCGCAAATACAAAAGGTCCTTATTGGCAGCACTTTTATATCATTTTTATTTAATCAAGTAAAACTTTCTTGGTTATTTAGCAAAATAACTTGCTCAGGCCATATGTTCTAGATGCAAAAATAGAATTTGTTTTAAAGAATTCTGGGGTTCAAACCAAGTTAATTCAAACTGAAGGAGCTTAATGCACAGCCCTGAGAAATGTCTGTGTACAAATGGATTGCCCTTCCTTCTCTTCTGGGTAAGCAGAGGTTCCTTGCATGATACAGGACAACTAACCATGGGTGGAGTGTACTACCCAGAGTGATCTGTGGGTCTATTCCCCAGGGTAAGGAAGAGCCACATGGTTCTGGACACCATTCACGCTGACTGGTCATGAGGCTAATCTATATATAGACTCATAAGCAAATGGTGACTCAAATACTATTTGTGATGTTTAAATACCATCAGAGAGCAAGAAAATTACAAGGAAATGTATGACAATTTAAAGAATATAGGGTTAGGAATACAGCTCAGTGGCAGAGCACCTGCTCAAGGCCTGAGTTTTTCTACAGTACCTCAAAACAAAATAAACCCAAGCTCAGTGAGAGGGAACCACCACCAAAGCATTTAGTAAAATACCAATTTTAAATATAAGTTAACTGGAAAAAGTGAGCAGACAAATCCAGACTTACTTATCATCCCTTTCTAGACATTTGACTAGAATTGGTAAAATCCCAGATTTTATTAGGTCATCAATTGGTGGATTTCTGTCACTGGATAATAGTTTCCTATAAAAAGAAATATAAGATTAATATTTGTTGTAGCTCTCAAACTATGAACATAAATATACTCCACTACCCCACTTCTGCACAGTCAGCTCCAACACCAGAAGGTACGGATCAGCTCTTACCTTGCTGCCTGGACAGCACTCAACTGGACTACAGGGTTATCACTTGTAGCATTCTGCAACAACAAGTGTATATTTCAGACATTTATTTAAAAAACTTACTTAAACCATTTCAGGATGATAGTATTAAATTAATAACTCACCTGCAATATAGCTTCTAGTGTTACGTTTTGCTTAAAAAAAAAGAAAGATAGTTCAGCAGAGAATATTAACAAAGCTAACAAAACTATTTAGTAGTCTATCTGGTTATGAATTACTATGCCTTGTAATTATTACTATCTGATTTTTGTTAAATTTAAAATAACATCCCCTGGTCATGATGAAAGTATTTACAGGCACCTTATAAAAACAAGGCCAAGACTTACTGCTTTAAAATCAGCATCGACATCTGAATCTTCTAAGCTTTCTTCCTGGGGAACATTTCTCTTTTTCAGTAAGTGTTCATCTCTTTTGTTCTGAAAGGTAATCGATAAATGTTTAAGAGTTCATGAAGGCTGTTGTTAATAAAATTGTATTTGGTGCCGAATTAACAATGAACTTGTTTAATTCCACTGCTTCTGTGTCATCTCAGCTCTTTAAGCACCAAGTGCTCTGACCACTCTAAGGGTACTTGAGGTACAGAACTATGCATCAGTTTTCATATACCTACTGCTAACAGCTGTCTGAAGCAATTTATTAAGAAAATCTTAGGATAAGTACTAATGCCTAGTTGCAAGTTGGGGGGTATAAGAAATAGGAATTTGTTAAATGTCATATGAATTAGCCACAGTGCCATGTATGGAAGAGGTCAGAGAAATACTTCTGGGATTCAGTTTTCTCTTCTGCTCTTATGGATACCAGGAATTGAATGAAGATGGTCAGGCTTGTGCTGCAGGTACTTTGACTGTCTGACCATCTTGCCAGCCCAGATTAAACCCTTGCTACCTGAATTTTACAAACAAAAGTTCCTCCTACCCTACATTTCATGACACCCAAATTGTTCTGAATGTTAACTATGCCATATCAAATATTACTTAACAGCAATAAATTTTCAACTTAAAATTTGAATAAATTTCCGGTACCCAATATTTGTGGATGTATTTGATTCCAACAGAAAAGTTATTTAAATATTCTTAATATTCATGGCAACATTCAGAATAGAAAATGAAAACGACATACACATGTGCATAACACTTAACTTTTGTTCTATGTACAAGCCAGCACATGCAAACACAAGGACGTCTATATAGTCATTCTTTCATTCCCACTTTTATAACATCATTCCTCCTTAGTAACCAACAGTAGTTATCTTTTAAACCACAGTACCTCACAGATGGCAAAGCCCCTGACATTTATGCATCTCAAGTGGCTTCATGCAGGATATATATTAATGTATAGTGAAAATAACGGTGCGCTCTCTGGTTTTTGTTTGTTATGTTTATTTGATGTGAGGCAGTTACTAGGGACAGAACCTGGGGCTTTGTACATGCTGGGCAAGCACTCTACGACTAAGCCATACATGTAGATTTCAGATGATATTTTTGGCCAAGTAAAAAAGCGTGCTACCAACAGTAAAGGACAAGTTAACTCTGTGTGCTCCCTGGTCTGGTGCAGGGAAAAAGAAAAAAAACAACAATATCCCCTTGGCATGATTCCTAATCAAACTAAATAACTTTCAAAAAACTAGAAAAACCCTAATCTACCATTTAATAATAACAACAATAAAGCCTGTATGCTTTCAAGATGAAGTCACTAAAGATGAGAAAAACTGGGGACCAGTCCTACAAGAAAACGCAGTACCTGATCTTGGATAGCCTCTTTGACTTACAATTTGCAAATTCTGAGTCGACTCTATTGATTAGAAGATGTAATCCTATGTTAACCTGATAAAAGTACTATTACACAGAAAAGTCTCTATGGATTCTAAAGGTAATAAAAATCCTGCCATTATTTGTAGCTGGTTCAAAGAAAAAAATGCATGTGTGTCTAATATATAAATAAAAGAAAGCAAACATGGAAAAGTGCTAACAATCCAAGGAAGCTACGTGCCACAAGCATGTACAGTGGTTTCTGTATTTTGTATTTCTTGCAATTTTAAGTTTCAAACTACAAATTTGAAATTGTTTCGCAAAAACTAAAATTAATTCCATTTACAAGTTTAAACAAATTAACTTTCAGCCCAACTATCATCCTGGCTAGCTTTTTTTTTCCTTTTGTCAACTTGACACAAGGTAGATGGACTCTCAGTTAAGAAAACACTCCCATAAGATCTGTCTAGAGGCAAGTGAGAGGCACTGTCTTGACTGATGGTTGATATGGGGGAGTACCCTCGGCTGGTAGTCTGGGTGCTCTAAGAAGGAAGGCAGGAGGAACAAGCACAAGGGGCAAGCCAGTAAGTATCAGCGCTCCTCCATGGCCTCCACTTCAGTCCCTGCCAACTTGCCTACATGACTGACTACAAGCTAGAAGATGAAATAAACCCTCTTTCCCCCAAGTCGCTTTGTTCATGGTGTTTCCCCAAACTATTCTAACCCTGATCCCTTCTATCTTCATCCTGGTTCACGTTAGCTTCTCAGCACCTGAAAAGTTAAGCGCCCAAATCTCTCAGGAATCTTACTCCATTTATCACTCCTACTACTCCAGGATATAAATAGATCCCTGTCACAGGATAGCACTTTTCATCATAAACAACATGTCTGCTTTCGTAGGAGCAGCCTTACGTACATAGGGAAAAACTTCCTATACTTTTTGTTTGGATAGACAGTGTCTCGCTAGGTAGTCCTCACTGGCCTGAAATTTGCTATCTCTGTCAAACCAGCCTCTGACTCTGATGTGCCTCCCTCTGCCTTCGGACACTAGGATAAAGGTGTGTGCCACCACACTGGACAAAACACCTTTCTATACCTAAATTGTTATGTTTCTTTTCAATTATGATGTTTAATTCACTAAATCGTGTTCCTTTTCTATCAACCTTTCACCTTTCTCTGCAAATGTGAAATAACCCACTTTTCAATGTGAAACTACCCTTTTAATTCTTGGACTCAGTTTATAAAGATGTCATTTAATTATTCTTCCTCTCCCAAGTGGAAGCAGCTGACAAGCATATTTTCTGGAACTGTCTCATCTAGTGCTCTTGTGGTAGTTTTTGTTTCATAAAAGTGGAAAACTTTCCAATTGCCGATCAACCTCCTCCCCTAAACTTTCTAGAAACAGTCGTTGTGCATCTTTAGCTCTTTAGAAACACCATGGCTGTTCCTGACAACACAGGGAACAAGTGAAACTGTCTGGTTGGACTGAAAGGCTTGCATTGTATATCAATCAGTTCACATAAACAAAGTTCCTAAGCTCTGACTGATGGTGAAAACTGTAACTGTACCTTAGCATTTGTTAATGCTTGTAACTTTTGTGCTTATAAGCCCCGTTTCTGCTCCTGCGTGGTGCTGTCAGGAGAACAAGGCTCCTGAATACTTGTCCTGCAGCTCTGATCGATCAGAGATCAGCTTATTTGGTTAATTATTCAAATCTTTGGAACCCGTAAGTGTTCCTTCCTCATGGTTCGTAACAGGCTAGGTGTAAAATCTGCACTACCTTGCCAACCCTTAAATTCCTTGGAACACTTCTCCAAGGAATCATGTGATTCTTTTAGGATATCAATAACCAAGAGGTAGTATCTAGTACTCTGGATATTGAGGCAAGTAGATCTCTTGAGTTCCAGGGCAGCCTGGTCTGCACAGTGAGTTCCAGGACACCCAAAGAATTATAGAGACCCTGTCTCAAACACACACACATACATACACACAGAGAAGAAAGGAAGGAAGGAAAGAAAACAGGCATCTAAAAAAAAACTTTAAAAAAAAACAAATCAGAATACAACAAAACAAAATAAAACCAAAGAAATAGCACACAAACACAGCTGCAGGGACGTTCCCATTCACACACACATTCCATTAAAACACAAAATAGGAAATGACAGAACATAAGCAAGAGATCTGGGGGGCACTAGGCAAAGCATTAAGTTAAATACTACCCAAAATACCATTGTGTTTGTTTTGTGTTGGCTATCTGTTGCTAACAGATAAGCAAGGCCTGCCCTTAAGTTTGATTTGTATACCCAGAGGAACTCTATTGGAGAAAACCAATTTTTTCTTTGCAAGCAGTTAACAATTAGAGATGGCTTTCTGGGTTAGGAATGGGAATTTCTGTCCACTTCCACTCTCAGTACTGAGAACCCCGTCTGACTTAAACCTATTCAGGCCCTGTACATGCTGCCATGGTCTCTTGAGTTCATATGTGTGTCAATCCTGCTGTGTCTAGAAGGCCTTGATCCCTTGGTATTTCCCATTCCCACTGATTCTTAAAATCTTTCTGCCTATTCTTCCACCAAGTTTCATGAGACCTGAAGGGAAGTATTTGACAAAGACATCCCATTTAGGACAACATGTTCAAAGTCTCTCACTTTATACACACTGTCCAGTTGTAGATCTCTAAATTTGTCTCCATCAACCGCAAGAGGAAGCTTGGGGATAGTAGAATGTCGTTAGCAGACATTTTATTGCTACATTTCTTTAGCAGACAGTGGTATCTGGTATCCCCCTGGGTCTAGAACCTATCTAGTCTCAGGTTCTTGGGCAGTGTCAGCATGGTCTCCATCTCATGAAACAGGACTTCGATCCATTGGGACAGTGGTTGTTACTTCCACAACTTCTGCGCCACACCACTGCACCAGCACATCCTACAGGCAGGTCACTGCTGTAGACTGAACATTTGCGGCTGGGCTGTGTATCTTTCTCCTCTGGTAATACACGGAGTTACTTCCAGTACCATGAACTCTAGTCCATAGGGGTGAAGGTTCTAGATAGGCACCAGCTCAATTTCTCTGTACAATGAGTTATGTAGTTGCTGCCTTCAGCAATAGGGCCTCACCATCAGTTTGTGGAGAGAAATCAACAGCGTTAGAAATCACATTGGTTGTTTGAGGATTTCCATAGGTTCCCTTTGGCCAAAAACTCAATTAGATGCAACCATTTCCAGCAAAGGTTTCATTTGGTTGCAAGAAATGTCTCGTTGGGGCTTTGTCTCCCCTGTTACGTGGTGACATCATTTAGAGTTCATTCATAAACATGTGTTTAAAAGCTTCTACTGTAGTAGTTTTTCATTCAGCACCTCAAATGGTCCTTAGTGTAGTTGTCCCTCTTCCATCTCCTTCCTTCTTCCTCACTCCTTCCCCACATTTGATTTTCCCATTCCAGTCTTCCCACTTCTTTAATATCTTAAAGTTTTTATTATACAAATCTACCATTTGTTTGGTTAGTTACCCCCACACACAAAAAAAAAAAAACTTTTGAGGCTATTGTTAAAGATACTGTGTTTCTGATTTATTTCTCAGTCCATCTCTCACTTATTTATTGGAAAACTACTGTTAAAGATGTTCGTTTTTCTTTGCATTTGCTGAAAGTGTTTATCAGCTGTGGAATCT